GAGGTATAAGCCTTTATGCTTTGTGTTTGTAGCTGCTGTAGGCAGGGCTTCCCTCCAGCTGGCCTGATGCCAGGGCAGGGGCTGCTGGTTTACAATCCGGTGCGGGCTGGCTGGGAGGAAGGCGCATCAGGGTGCGTATCATGGTGCTGGCTTTGGAGCTGTGTAGCCAGCCAGGGGGATGGAGCACCTTAAACTCTTGAAAGTTCCCAACCTGCTGGGCAGAGTGCACCTGGACAATTTTGTCCACCTTTCCTTTCTCTTGAGCAGTAAGCTCTGTTCCATCTTAGCCCCTTTAGCAGCCCCCTCAGTGTTGGGAAGTCTCTTAGACTGCTTTTCTTTTGTACCAGAACAGCAGTATGTGGATCCCTATTTTCCACAAGCAGCTGGAATCTCAGTCTCTCCAGGTATTCTGCCTGTCTTAGCTTTCCAACCCCACTAATTTCCAGAACTCCATGCAATGTAGGTTCTTGCTCCCAGAGCAAATCTCCAGGGCTGGGTATTCAGCAGTACTAGGCCTCCACTCCCTCCCTGCTCTGTTTCTCTTCCTCCTGCCAGTGAGCTGGGGTGGGGGAAGGGCTTGTGTCCCGCTGGATCAAGGCTTTGGTATGTTACCCTGTCCTGTGAGGTCTGTTCTCTTCTCCAGGTGTATGTAGTCTGGCCTAGCCTTCTTTCCTGTTGCTCTTTCAGGATTAGTTGTATTGATTATATTTTTGTATCATGTGTGGTTTTAGGAGGAGGCCTCTATCTCACCTCTCACACTGCCATGTTTAATCTCTCCTTTTAAGTATTCTTTAAAAAACTGAGATTATATGAACCATGTGGTTTGCAGTCTGATTTGTTTTATTTCACTTGTTATCAAAGCATGTTTCCATGTCTACATCTTCAAAAAATCTTTATAAGCATACTTTTAATGCTCAGTACCATGATTTTGATATTCATCTCTCTGGTTATGGACTTTAGGTCATTTCCATTATGGGGCTATTTTCCATGGTGTGTGGCTGCCTTTTGATTATCAGTGCAAATGGGGGTCTGAGTGCCTAGCTAAGTGGAAATCAGACAAGCTCACTAGAACAAATTTATTAAAGATTATATAGCAACTGCTCTCAAGGGCCCAGAGGGTGGTTGTTGGAGTTCCCTCTATCTGCCTTCATTCTGTGCCATGGGCCAGGCAAGCAGCTATGGAGAGAATGGGCTCCCACATCAGCTCTCCTTGAGAGAACCAAGAGCTGACATCCCTGTAGGATAAGACTGAGAAGAGAATTTCCTGGTAAAGATACTGAGGCCAGAGAAGGGGTATGACCTTCTTAGGGTCACTTAGAACAGGGCTAGAGCCCAGGTCTCTGGATTCCTTCCCACCCCCATGCAGGTCCTACTTCATATACTGAGGTACTTGGCACAGCTTGGAGTGGCAAAGAAAAGTCAAAGAAAAGAATGAGGCTTGTGCCAGAATAGGCTACTGTGTGGCTCTGGGGGAGCAATTCAGTGCTCTGAATGTCAGGCATCATCTGTAAATGGGGTTATGATATATATAGCGGTCATTAAGATATCAGGCCTATAATGGAATCTAGAGGTGAAAACACTTGGTGCTCCAAAGCTGCTATAAGAATGGGGGTGCAGAGAACCCACAAAATTAGGTTTTCTTTTTGTCAGAACATACAACAAATGTTATGGAAGTCACGGGTGCATTTCTGTCATACCTATTATGGGGTGTTCGTGAAATTCTTCCCTAAGTAAGGTCAACTGTAGACAGAGTCTGTTCTAAAACAGTTTTCTCCTTTGAATCTCTTTTTTGAAGAGGCAGGAAATAGCCAGCCTGCAGGAGATGTCCATTCAGGAGATTCAGCCTGAATGCTGAATGTGAATGCAGGCCCCACCCAGCATGGGCTAAGGTCCAGTACAGGAATGCTCCTGCAGAACGCCCTGCCAAAGGTCTGGGGAGCCCCTCAGGTTCTCAGCCTCAGCCAAAGAAGAGAAGAGGTTAAAATGGCTTTAGAATCAGAACTAGGATCCATGGCTTTCAGCCTGCAGGGAATTTGATACCGTCTTTTTTGTGGGCACCCTCTGGAACTGCAGCTCCTGCTGCATTCATGAGCCTGCTTGCTCAGAGCTGGCTGGTGAGCAGAGGGAATTAAGCAATACTGACCTCAGCCAGCCCAAGTTGAAGTTAGCTCAAATGCGCTGGGCTGGGGGTGGGGATGACTAGGTCTCACAAAGAAAAGAGTTCCTCAGCTGTTTCAGGAGCCAGCGGGAGAGAAGTACTCCATGTGGGCCTCAAGGGCCTCAAAGATGCTGGCCGTGCACTGAGAACAGACCTGGGAGGCGCAGCTCTCCCTCCCAAGGCACCAATGAGGAAACAGCGTGGCAGATTTCCCTGAGGCCTGGGTGCCTTGACTTGGCTTGGTTTTATTTTTGTGTGACCACTGAAGTCTTTCCCTCTGGGGAGTTTGGGGTGCAATCCCTGTGTCATCTAGATGTGTCTACATAGGTCTGCCTGTGAAGAGCCACCTGGCTTGTGAGTGAAGCAGGAGCATGGCTCGTGGGCGACCCTCAAGCTGTCCTTCTCTGTGTAGACCTGCCGCCCCTGCCCCAGACACTGACACACATTCTTGGAAGTGTACTGGGGTCTGGCCATATTCCTGAGTGCCCAGCCTGGGGGACCCAGAACTGCTCACTAAGTAAAGGCAGAAGGTGCTTTATGAGAGCTGGTGGATTCAGGGGTGAGGTTAAGTGTGAAGGGGAGAGAGAGGGAGATGTTGAGGATGAGGAAACAGTAGGGGCTTGGTCTCTAGGCCTTGACTGGTCCTGAGTGAACACGTGTCTTCTTTGGGCAAGGCCTGAGTCTTACCCCAGGTGGCTCTGGAATTCTTGAGTGGTACATCTAGAAGTCCACAAAAGGGGGATTCTCCATCTCTGTACAAGTGTATCTTAGTGCTCTCTCTCTCCCTGCTGACTTACTCTTCATCCATCCATCCATCCATCCATCCATCCATCCATCCATCCATCCATCGTTTATTCAGAAAGTATCTGCTTTAAGCCAGACATTGTGCTGAGGCAGAAGATATGAAGATAAATGACACAGATCCTGCCCCCAACATGCGAAGTCTAGTGATGCTCCCTGGGTGTCTGTGGGTCAGAGCAGGTGATAGGTTCAGGGGAGAGTGAAGCACAAAGAAATGTTCCTGTCCTGTGAGCTAAGTGCTCTGATGAAGCTTGAGAGAAGCTGGTGCCCCCAGCCAAGGAGTGAGGGGGTGCATGGAGGCTCCAGGACAGGGCATGTCTAAGGAGGGTCTGGATTTTGTCGAGTAAAGTAAAGAGAAGCCACCATGTATCTATTAGAATTGCTGAAAACCAGCACTCTGACAATATCAAGTGCTGGTCAGGACGCAGAGCAGCTGATGTGCTCACACCGTGCAGTGGGCATGCACACTGATAGCATACAACCCAGCAATCCTGTTCCTATGGATTTACCCAAGAGGAATGAAACCATGTCTATGCAAAAGCCTGGATCCAAATGCTTATAGTAGCTTTATTCAGAATCACCCCAAACTGGAAACAACCCAAATATCCCTCAACTGTAGCTCGGATTAATAGAGATGCAGCCATACCTTGCAGTAGAGGACAGGTATGCACAGCTGCACAGGGGAATCTCAGAGGCTTTATGCTGAGGGCAAGGCATCAATCTCAAAGGGTTATATACACTGCAATTCCATTTACATGACATTCTGCAAAGATGAAACCTTAGGGGCAGAGAGCAGGTGATGGTTGCCAGGGATGGGGATGGAGAGGCTGCGACTACAAAGGGCAGTTCTGGAGTGAGGGAACCCTGCTTGTGGTGGTGTTTCTGTACATGTGTTAAAACTTACAAAGCTCTACATAGAAATTCTAGGTTTACAGTATTTAAACTTAAAAATAATAATGAGAAGGAAAGACAGTCTAGCAGAGGGAACAGCATGTGCAAAGCCCTGGAGGGAAAAGTGATCTGTCAGAGGTGGCTGGAAGGGAGTTGGGGGGAACCCCCTGGAAATGGGCTTGGAGGCAGAGCCCAGCTTTGGTCTAGGAGTGGTCTCATCACCCTACAGGGGCTTTGTGTTGTTATAATGAGGGGGAACATTTGCATTTTAGAGCAGTTTTGGAGGGAGGGGAGACTGTAGGGAGTGAAATGGAGGGGCGGTGTCTGGGGCTGATCGGGACTCAGGTGGACAGCTGGAGGAACGGGCCCCTGGGCTGGGGGTGGGGTGGGCATGCTTGGGCAGCACCCCTGGCCCCTGGCCCCTGTGGACGAGATTCTTGGTCAGACCTCTGCCTGCCTTCCTCCTCTCTCCTTATCCTCATTTTTACTTACCTCAAGGTGTCCTTTAACTAGTCACACTTACAAGTGACCATGATATAGAAAAAGCCTATTTAAAAATGGTACTCATCATTTTAATTCTATAAAATAGATTTTTATGTTCTATTTACAAGAACCACAAAATGACATGTCTCCTTTAATCCTCTGGTTGGGTTTTGCCACTATAATAAAAATAGGAGAGAGATAATTGCAATAATAAGTGAGTTATGCTGCTCACCTCGCCCTAGCTGCCTCGCCTGCCATCCCTGGTGCCCTAGGGCCAGCTGGCGCAGGCACACAGGCCGCTCCTGGCCCAGGCCCCCCTCTGGCCCTGCTGGTGGGGGGCAGGGGCTTCAGCTGCTCCAGCTCTCCCAGCCCAACTTCCCACCTGCTGTGGGCATGGGCGTGGGCTTCTTGTAAGTGGCCTCAGGAAAGAGCTGTGTGACATGCTGTTTACTTGTGGGCAGTTTTTATTTGGCTTTCCAGGGTGTTTGCTTCCAGGTGTGTTGTGCTTGCAATGAGCAAAGAGCCTCTTCCAGAACCACTTGGAGGATTCAAAACCTTCCATCTTGGCTCGAGCAGTAGGCTCGTGGTTCCATGGCTAGGAGCCAGGTGCGGTAGGGATTTTTCCAGAGTCAGCACTGGTCAGAGTCAGCAGCGGGGAGGGGGCCAGACGGGAGGCGGGGAGAGAAGAAAGAGGAGAGTCGGAGCCAGAGAGGAATGGATGCCAGATGAGGAGACTGAGGCTCGGAGGGTAAGCGCACCGGCCGGGGTGGTCCTTTCAGCCCTCGGGCCCTCGCGCCGGGCAGGCAGGTATGCCTTGCCGCCTGGGAGCGGCCGCTCCAGGCACGGGGCTCCGGGGCTACGCAGGGTGCGGAGTCTGGTGTGCTGCCTCTGGCGGAGCGGCGACGTCGTCTGCCGGCCTGGCTGCTGGTCGCTGCCTGCCCCTGCCTCCCGGTACTCCTGCGGGGGGGCACGACCGGCAGAACACGCCCAGCTTGGCCTGCGGCCGGCCCTACCTCTGTGCGGGCTGCTTCTGCACCAGTGCTGTGAGGTGGCTTCCAGTGCACTGGGCACCCAGGAATTCCCAAGACGTTCCGTCTCTTGTACCTCATTCTGCACGTTTCCTGGATGCAGATTATCCATGGGAACCGCCTCCTTCATACACACACAGAAGCAATTTACACCCCCCGCCAAACCGACTGGGTGCAGAGGAGGGCGGTATTGTCTATGCCTATTTACCATCTGGACTCTAAACTGGGGGCAGAGGTCATGCCTTTCTTCTTGTTCTGGAAATGATTTAAATAGATGCCTTAGTGCTTTTAACTTGCTTGCTTGAGGTGCCCTGTTTGGGGTAGGAAGGGAAGATCCAAATAGAGTCAAACCTGTAACATCAGAGGGTCACGATTTCAGAATCACAGGGTCCACGACTCCCTTCCTCCCTCTTTCCAAAAGGGGTGAGTGAACTCCGGCCCCAGGATGATGGGAATACCTGTTACGTGCCAGGTGGAAGGAGGCGGGGCGGAGGAACAGGCTAGGCTTTGCCCAGGCCCAGGGGGGGACTTTGTGCTGTGCTGCCAAAACCCTGGGATGCCCGGCCCAGTGGAGGTAGGGGTGCAGCTAGTCTGGGGGCTGGAGGCTGGGATGGCCAGTGACCCCGGCCATCCGGGTGACCACCTCTGTGCTGGAGCAGGGTGGGCGGGACACACAGGCAACCTTCTCCCGGCGGTGCGGCTCTGTCGCCCGTCCACATGGTCTCAGTGTGCGCCTCCTGGCTAGCGGAAGGCTCAGGGACTGGCCTCTGGCCGGACTTGGCCTCCTGGACAGTACAAGCTGCCCCCGGCCTCCCCAATGGCCCTGTCTGCAGGCCCTGGTCCCAGTCGACACAAAGGCAGCCCCAGGGTTCCATCTTGCCCCCCCTCAAGGCGCTCTGCCCCCCACTGCCCACCCCCCACATGCACACTTCGGGCTCTGGAGATCCTGTTGCCTCCACAAAGACGCTACTGTATTCCTTCCTTTTGGAACATTCTCTCTTGAAACTCTAGTTAAAATCCCTTCATTTCCCTTTGGGGAGGGGATGGAGATGACTGACGGAGGAAGACCACCCCGTTTAGCCATTGGTCTGAGAGTCGGAAGGGCCCCTGGCTCCTCTTTCACTTCTCCCTGACAGTGGCCCTGGGGGAACAGGTTGACTGTAATGGTCATGACTCCTCACGTGGTGCAGTTCTAAAACATGAAGAGTTCAGAGGGTGAGTTGAACCAGAACTGAATTCAAACTCTGCTTAGTCCCTTGGGCAAATCAGCAAACCTTGAACTTCGCAGCCCCAGTGTCCCCATAAGACAGCACTGTCTCCTTGTGGGGCTGTATGCCCAATGCTGCAGTGAGCAGGAAGCGTTTTATACAGTAGTCGTCAGCTCATGCTGAGAGCTCACTTAATGGGAGCTGTGATCCCATTGTCTGGAGACAAGGGGCTGGAGATGCAGCAGGGCTTCTAGGACTATTAGTAGGATCCTTCAGCACACCATGGGGAGCAGGAGCATCAAGGCTGGCTTGGACCAAGGGTACCCACTTGCCTGCTCCCAAGCAGAAGGGTTCTGGAGCGTGAGAATATATATATTATAAATGGGCTGCCTTTGTATCAGCCATGTGGGTCCATCCCTATAATGGTGAGCCAGAGAAATATACAATCAAGTGGTAGGGGTAAAGGTGCCTAGTTTAAGGGTTCTTGATCTATGGTTCATACCTAGAATTCAGGGGAGCATTAAACTTGGTTGAAGTAAAATCACGTCTTTATTTTCCTGAAGCAGTAAAGGTCCTATTGGAGTAGGATGGGGTCGTCCTGGAGTGGGCGTTTCTTCAGTGATGAGCTCAGGCACCGCCCACAGGGATGTTAGCAGCCCTTGTGATCGGTCACTAAGAGGAATCACAGAGGGTTTATATCATGACAGTGGAAACAGACATTGAATATAGTCTTTCCTTCCCACTACTTTTAAAGGGCATTTATTAGATGTGCGGATAGCTCTTATTATTTAATGTGTTAAGAAGCGCATGTATTATTCTATCATAAATTTATTTTTGAGAATGTTTTCGTAACCATACTTCAATGCAATTAATTGCCTTTGTAATCCTATGTCTTTTATTTTATGCATTAAAAAGCATCCTGAGAAAGATCCATGGCTTCACTAGGTGGCCAGAATAGTCATTCAGCACCCCTGTCTCTTGGTAGATTTTCACCTGCATGTTCTGATCTTGGAAGCATGTCAAAAGCTCCTTTTGCCTGAAAGAGCATTTCCTCGGCCTCTACTCCAGGATCACTAAAAGTCGTTTTCCTCAAATTTCTAATATATGCCAGGCACTGCGCTGGGTGTTGGAAGATAATGTTCCCTTAATATTAATAACCACATATATTTGCATTGGGATTTGTGAATTTCCTATCCAGTAACTCATTGAATCCTTAATCCTTCAAATGTTAAGGCTGGTAATACTAAACCCATTTTAGAGTTCAGTAGAGCAATCTAGGGATCAGCGATGCTGAGAACTGACCAGGTCACACAGCTCACAAATAAAGAACTTCAAGGTGGGCCCTCCAACCACAAATGGAATGGTCTTTCCACTCAGTCGACCTGAAAATTCTCACACTTACATGTAGTCGTTTCATTTTGTTATCTAGTCTTTGGAAATTTCCTGTTCAAAGTAAATATCCTTGGAAATTTGTCTGTTGTATAGAACATTGCCCTGAGGGTCTGTGTCCCAGGAGTGTCATATCGTGCAGAGACAGGTCTTGGGGTGGGCTGGAGCTGCATGGGGGGGACAGGGAAGGCCAGTTCTGGCAGAGACGCCCTGACAGAGAGGGCCCAACTTGACTCTCTTTGTGGGTTTTGTTTGGGGGTAGCCTCCAAAACATGTGCGTGGAACCCCAGACTGAAGCAGCATCCCCATGAGTAGGCTGAGGGAGTCCTGTTTCTGGAAGCCTCCGAGGGGAATGCCTGGGACTGAGTCAAGGGGGCATGTGATGGGCAAGCAGAGCATTTCCTTTGCATCATGAAAGCAGAGGCCTAACCCTCTTCTCTGACTCTGAGACAGTCCCTGTGGCACTGCCGGGCGCTGTCCGTTGCCTTGTCTGTGGCTGTGGCTTTCTGCCTTGTTGGGCAGTTTCTGCCTCTGGAAGACAGTGGGCCTCCCCGAGCCCAGTGCGGTGCGGGCGCAGGGGACCTGCTCAACACGGGTCCCATGGGTCGGCAGCCTTTCACATCTGATACTTAAATCTCTCCAGAGCTGCCCAACAGAATGTTCTGAGATGGCAGAAATACTCTGTTCTGTGCTGCTGACCAGGGCGGCCACTACTCACAGGTGGCTACTAAGTATTTGAAATTAGGCTAGTGTCTCTGAGGAATGGAAAATTTACATTTAACTAATTTAAATGTAAATAATCTTATGTGAATGGCTCTCTTATTGGACAGCACATCTCTGGACAAAGAAGTATAAACTGAAGTGTGGATGGAGCCCAGGCTTTTGGCATAAGTAATGAAGTAGGCTAGCTATAATGAAAAAAAACAAATCAATCTATTCTGTTTTCTCAAGTTTTACTGAGTTGTGGTCAAAGAGGTGCTTGTCATCTATGAAAAATAATAAAGCCAATGAGATCCCAAGGGCAAATGTCCTTCCTCCTCAGTGTTGGGAGACAATAGGGAGTAGTGGGGCCTGTGGTGAAGTGTGGCAAGCATGTCATTCAGAGAGGGAGCCATGCTCTACTCCAGCCATGTGAGAACATGGGTACAAGTTGTGACTGAACCTCCTCTTTTCCAAGGAAGTGGGAATCTGGATTTTTATGTGAAATATCCTGGTTTTTAAACATTGGCTCAAATTTATTGAAAACACTTCAGGCCAAACAAAACGCATCTGCAGGCCAGATCTGGCTCATGCACCCTGATGTACAAACTCCCTCCTAGGCCCGTAGAGCATGCAGGGGTGGGCGGGGCAAAGTGGGGGGTCCTTCCCTTGTCTTAGTCGGCTCGGCCTCCCCTGTCATCAGGGGTTCAGTCACAAGGAGGGAGAAGTGTGTCTGGAAGACACAGTCTTGCCCCCAACCCCTTCTCTGGGGCTGTGTCCTAGCCTCTGAGCAGAGTAGATATCTCTGGAAGGCTGTAACAGAATGGCCCAGAGAGAAATTTGTTTTATACTTTTCAGCAGCAATCCCCACCCACTCCTTGCCCCAGCCCTGCTCCCAGGCCTGAGAGCAGAATGTACAGCTGTTAGTATGAAGGCAGCCAGAGGGGACTTCCAACAAATGTCAGGGTCTCCAACATCCCATCTGGCCCACAGTGTCCCCACACTGGTGCTCTTGTGAGCTAGAACAAGGTGGTGATTGAGCTATGGAGATGGAGAGGGCTGCAGGGCCAGCAGGGCTGCAGAAGCCCCATGTGTAATCAATGTAGAAGCTGAAGCAGAGCAACTGCTAAACGGGGAGGGTGGTGTAAAGGACACACGTTCACCTTCCTCCCATCTTGGGAGCACTAGACAGTTAGGATCAGAGTCGTAGTAACAATACTTGCACAGATGTAGTGTGACTGTATGTTACGCTCTGTTTTGAATGCTTTACCTCTGACAGCTTATACAACTCTCATGGTACTCATTGGAGTGATTTTATTTTTATGAGTGACAAGTCACATTCTTTTCCCACCAGAATGTCACTGTGGTAGGGTAGTGACTGTTGTGTGTTTTGTGCACTGTTTCTCTTCTGCAGTGCTGGGCTC